TAAGTGAATGTACGTAATATGATACTGCTGATTGAAGGATGATAACAGACTAGAGACACACTTTAAAAATGTATGATAATTTGAACAGGTTCTCTCCCGATGTTTCCAATATCAAGCTTTTATTGTTACTTATTGTGGCAAAGCCATACAAGGAGATTGTGAATCATGACACTAAACTATCACACCACAAATATACACAACTCTGTATACACAATTTACATACATATTGAGCCAGCAGTTGCACATACAAATACATTTCTAAATTTGAAGCCCCATTAGTCTGTAAAATCGAGCCCATATCGCTGACAGACCATTATCCCAAAAAAGAATGTCCACTGCTTTGAAGTCAAGTTCCTCTGAAAATACACCCTCCCAGCAGTTAGTTTCCCAGCAGCGCCTGAGCCACTGATGCCAATTGTTTTTCTCTGACTTGACCCTGCTTTTCCAGCGACTTCTGTGTCACCAAACATAGGTGTTTTAAGCCAAAACATTATCTTATCCTCAACATGACTAAGCAGTTTTTGTCCCAAAACCTAATCACACATTTAGTGCAGCATTATAGACAAATGCTAATGTATCTGTGGTTTGCAGACATTTAATGTGAACTTAAAAATTCTGGTGATTGGGTTGTGTAATTGCAGGGAGTATGTATTTTCTGAAAAGAGTGTTTTCGGAGCAATGGGTGTTTCAGGGTTTCCACGGTCATGGAAAACCTGGAAAAGCCGTGGAATTTTACAATCTTGTTTTGCATGCCTGGAAAAGTCATGGAGTTAGTAAAAGTCATCGAAAGTATTGGAAAAGTCCTGGAATATTGTTGTGTATAATGAAATTAATTGTTACTGTAATCTTAACATAAAAGCAAATGTATATTCTGTAAAACTAGCTGTTGACATAAGGTAGTACTAAGGTGTCGATTAGGGCTGCAGGATATATTGTTTCAGCATCAACACTGCGATGTGCAAGAGTCGTGTTGCAGGATGTGCAATGTCTATTAAGGCAAATTAACTTAAACAACCTATTTGCTGCTTGCTACAAAGGGAAAACTCGCACCGCTCTCTCATGACTAATACCGGCCAAGCCTTCCCCTTTAAGAGTGTGCGTATATGTGATGTAGTGTGGCAGCATTTCTTAAGAAAAGTGAGACTCTGCAACATGAATGTGTGTTAAAAAAAAAAGAAAGTACCATAACTTAGTGAAACACAGGCTTTTCAAAAATGGAAATTTTATTGTCGGCCCTTTAAAAGTCATGAAAAAGTTTTGAAATTTGTCCATGAAAATATGTGAACCCTGTTCATTTTTATCATGATGAGCTGTCGCAGAAATGGGCTCTTGTCCAACGGGATAGATTTTGGACTAATGGGGCTTCATCTGAACAGTGGACAGTACCCAACAGGAGAGGCCACAGCACATATGAGCTCAGAGCTCATCACTGTTGTCACTTTACCCTTATATACTGTTGACACTGTCCTCCCCCAAAGATAGTTTGTTTGTACAAGCAGCTTAGTACGACCCATGCTAAAGTTTACTGTTAGGTGGCAACCTAAGGTGGCCGTAGCACTTATAACAAGAGCAAATGAAGAAAAAAGGTAAAATACTATAAAGAGCGACAAAGTATTTGTAGGGAGGTAATCAGGGTACAGTGCTCTTTGTGTTTCATGTGAAACAAAAAGTCAACAGTGAGTTATTTTAACTTGCATATTATGTACAAAACTTACGTATGTAAGCTAAAGACCCAACTTAAAATATGTAAGAAACATAGATATTTTATCCCAAACCATGATCTTTTCCTAAAACTATCAAAGTAGTTTTGGTGTCTCAACCTAACCAAACTGCGACACTTTCACAACATTAACCACATGTTTAAAATTGCAACAGGTCATATACACTCACCAGCCACTTTATTAGGATCATCTTGCTAGTACCAGGTTGGAACCCCTTTTGCCTTTGGATCTGCCTTAATTCTTCATCGCATAAATTCAACAATGTGTTGGAAACATTCCTCAGAGACACCACACAGTTGCTGCAGATATTTAGGCTGCACATCCATGATGTGAATCACCCATTTCACCACATCCCAAAGGTGCTCTATTGGATTGAGATCTGGTGACTGTGGAGTACAGTGACCTCATTGTCATGTTCAAGAAACCAGTTTGAGATGATTAGAGCTTTGTGACATGGTGCGTTATCCTGCTGGAAGTAGCCATCAGAAGATGGGTACACTGTGGTCATAAAGGGATGGACACAGTCAGCAACAATACTCTGGTAGGCTGTGGTGTTTAAACCATGTTCAGTTGGTACTAAGGGTCCCAAATTGTGCCAAGAAAATTTTCCCCACACCATTACACCACCATCATCAGCCTGTACCGTTGATACAAGGCAGGATGGATCCATGCTTTCATGTTGTTTTCTCTAAATTCTGACCCTACCATCTGAATGTCACAGCAGAAATCAAGACTCATCAGACCAGGCAACGTTTCTCCAATCCACTAATGTCTGATTTTGGTGAGCCTGTGTGCATTGTAGCCTCAGTTTCCTTATCTGACAGGAGTGGCACCTGGTGTGGTCCTGTGCTGGTGTAGCCCATCTTATTCAAGGTTCGACGTGATGTCTGTTCAGAGATGGTCTTCTGCAAACCTTGGTTGTAACAAGTGTTTATTTGAGTTACTGTTGCCTTTCTATCGTCTTGAACCAGTCTGGCCATTCTCCTCTGACCTCTGGCATCAACAAGGCATTTTCTCCCAGAGAACTGCCGCTCACTGGATATTTGGTCTTTTTCGACCATCCTCTGTAAACACTATAGATGGTTGTGTGTGAAAATCCCAGTAGATCAGCAGTTCTGAAATACTCAGACCAGCTTGTCTGGCACCAACAACCATGCCACATCCAAAGTCACTTAAATCACCTTTCTTCCCCATTCTGATGCTCAGGTTGAACTTTAGCAGGTCGTCTTGACCATGTCTACATGCCTAAATGCACTGAGTTGCCACACATGATTGACTGATAAGCAATTCGGGTTGATGAGCAGTTAAACAGGTGTACCTAATAAAGTGGCTGGTGAGTGAATGTTGTTTTGTGAGTCATTGGTAAATGACTTGTTTAGGTACGATGTGTTGATGTCCTACCACTGGAAGGGACACTAATTTAGGGAACGCTCTGGTTTGGTTGTATCGGTTGGAGTACTTGTTTTACAGCTGTGTACACCTCTGTATACATGCAGTATACTGTGGGCTATATGACTTCTCATTATTCACTATTTTCCTGTTTACATTCAGCTTTTGCATTTGCAATACTGTTTATACAAATTGATGTTCCTTTATTTTTTGTTAATATTTCATCCATGTATATAAACTTACACTGTTTTATGTCTTAGATTCAGATTTTGCTTTTACTTGTGTGATTTTCTTTTTATAGGTATTTAATGAGCACTGTTGGGGGGTGCCTGAGGCCTAATATTTTCATTGCCAACAACTGCTTCTCTGTTATTGCTGCAAACCTGATGAGGATGAAGAACTTAAGGGAATCAGTAGAACTTGAATGCTTTTCACATCGGCAACTACAAACTAACTGTGCATCACTGTAGTTAGCAGATTGAAAGTTCTTTACCACTGATACTTACGCTGGACTGTCACTACTAATAATTTTACATGTGGTGTGTTTCACTGGTTTTGGTGAAAAAAGCAATAAACATGTCTGGAGGGCAGGAGTCATGTACTTTGACACACAAGTAGTGTCTCCCTGTGACTGTAGGTTTCTGAAAAGATGTCGGTAACACTTTACTTAAAGGTATCTACATAAGAGTGACATGACACTGTCATAACTATGACATGACACTGTCATGAACTTGTCATAAACATTATATACGTGTCATGAACGTTTATGACTGCTGTCATTAAGTGTCATTCAGTTTTTGTAATGACAAGTTAACATTGTTTGGGTTGTCTTTATTATGACAACTTGACATTAATCAAAGTGACATTACCAGAAGTTGTCTTTGTCATGACAAGTTGACATTGAATATGTTTGGGATGTCCTTATAATGAACACTTGACATTGATCTAAAGACATCTTCTGGTGATGTCATCCTGGTTAATGTCAAGTTGTCATAATCAAGACAATTCAAACAATGTCAACTTGTCATTACAAAAACAGAATGACACTTAATGACAGCAGTCATAAACGTTTATGACATGTACATAATGTTCATGACAAGTTCATGTCATAGTTATGACAGTGTCATGCCACTCTTATGTAGATACCTTCAAGTAAAGTGTTACCAAGATGTCTTCTGGAAATGTGATGTGACATGCCAAGATAACAGTTAGCAATCAGATGCTGTTGGGTCATCATTGATCTTGTGCGGGTGACTGTAACTGGTAGGTTTCCTCCATTGGCACTAGTTAGTCCTTGTCACGGCCGTTTGACTTGTGGAATCAGAAGCAGTCAGTTAGAGAGAACTGTTCAGCCCAGTGGAGCAGGGATTTCACCCATTTCTCTGTATTGTTCACCTCCGTCTTGTCTTTGTTCTTCCACAATGACAGGATTATTAGCTGAAAAGCAAAACCTAACAGTGCCAGCAGAAACTTTCCACAATTTGCATATGACAAGATCATTTCAGAGATTCAGTGTCATGTAAATAGTTAGCTACTTTGTTTTGTCCCTTGATGTTTCCATTTGTTTCAGAAGTCATAAGGCAACGTGAAGCAAAGCATTAGTCAGTCTTTTCTTTGCTGTCAAATTGGTGTGTTAGGGCCTTAACATTGGTGCTCGCTAAGCCCAAAAATACCTGGTAAGAAGCTCCTGGACACACTTGGTCCCTCCAATTAGGAAAAGGACATGATTTCAATAGGTTAACGCGTTGATTAATTTTCAGTGATACTCTTTACATATGCTTTTTACTGCCTTGTGACAGTATCCATGTATGACTGAAAATTAAATACACTGACAATCTTCTCCTATGGTCTGGGGACACTCCACATGTCCCATGAGACAACTGATGAACCTCATCCCAATGCAGGCTCCTCCTGCATTTCCATTCCTGAGGTGTATAGGTTCTCCTCAGTCCAGACAGGTCCTCCATTTTGGAACTGGGCTTTATGAATTGCAGGTTGCTGGTAGAATGTGTAAGGTGCTCTTGGTGGCCTGTCGTTGCCCTGGCCTAGTGCTTTCAGATCGGGGAAACAGTGGACACAGATGCAGGTTTCTGTAGGGCTTGAGTCATATGATGGCTTGCGGTCAGTGGTGCGGTATGAATTTGTTATAAAATCTGTGGAAAGACAGAGAAAGATATATGGAACAGATGCCATGATATTTGATATGAGTTTTTGAAATACAAGATAATAATAATGAAAAAAGATATGATGGGTGATATAGGGTTAGCTGCAGAGAATATTTTTGAGTGTTTTATGGATGTCAGTCTATAGGTTAATCTTGCTACTCTATCCACCCTGAGGGATAGACCTGGCTTCTGACCTATAGTTAGCGATGCTGCTCATTCAGCAGTTACCACTAGTAAGGTTGTCTAGACCCAACAGCATTGGTGTAGGAACATTTTGCCCACCCTCTTGTCACCCTCTGGTTGCCTTGGTGAGTAAGCACTTCAGTTTTGAACCGCAGCCCCCCTTTAGCTTTGTTAACTATGTTATCAGTGTTTGCTCTGTTGGCACTGTTAGCAGTGTAAGCACGGCTGGTGTTGCTACCATAGTTAATAATGCTAAAGGGATTTTGCAGCGTGAAAATGAAGCCACTTACTCACCAGAGAGACCTGAGGGGAGACTGTAGGGGAACCACCATGTTTCTTCAGCAACGCCATCCTGCCACCTAGACAGCATTACCAGCGGTAATCTCCAAATGAGTGGCACCACCAGCTAGCTGCCACCAGAGCCAGATGGTGCACAGCGCAGAGCAGCCAAGGCTAACATTAGCTAACCAGTGGAAACCGAAGGGTGGGTAGATTGGCTGTGGCTCAGGAAGCAGAGTAGGTTGTCCCCTTATCAGAAGATCTGAGGTTTGATCCCCAGCTCCTCCACTGAGTAGCTGAGTAGCAAGTGGCACCTTGTATGGTAGCCTCGGCCACCAGTGCGTGAATGTGTGTGTGAATGGATAAATGTGACTTGTAGTGTGGTCAGAAGACTAGAAAGGTGCTATAGAAGTGCAGATCCATTTACCATTTTCAGTGAGCACTGTGTCAGCCCTGTGATAGTCTGGCGACCTGTCCAGGGTGTACCTCGCCTCTCGCCCAATGTCAGCTGGGATAGACTCCAGCTCCTTCCCGACCCCTAACAGGATAAGCGGTTACGGGAAATGATGAGTGAACCCTATGCATGTTAACACCTCTAACCAGCATTCTATAAGCAAAGCCAACACAAAACAAAATAAAAATCCACACATTCACATCATGAAATATTAAAATTTCACCACCCTAAATGGATAGCACTTTGACTAACCTGTAGAGCTCTGCCCAGGTCGGCCAACTTCCTGACCCATCTGGACCACACTCTCCTGGTTGTGGTTAGCCTCTCTGGGTCCTGAGTTGGAGGTTTTGGCCTTGGTTTTTCTCACGAAGACTACCAAGGCTAAAGACAAGCTAGAGAACAGCAGCACCATGCACAGGCCCAACAGAGAATAGAGCAGAATAGTCGAGTCTTCCAAGGTTGTTGGCACAAAGGTCCCTCTGGAATTCGGCATGTATGACATAACCTCAACCGAGAGCTTTTTGGTGGTCACTGGAACTTGTGGTGCTTGGGGGATAGATGGTAAGAATATCTCTGAAAAACAAAACAGCACATATTTTCGGGACATTGTATGTGTTTATTGGGCGGCCAATAGTGCAGAGATGACAGCAAGAGGGGAGAAGGAAATAAGTACCATGCAACAAAGGTCCCTGGCCAAATGAAAATGGTAATGCCATGGCTATTGGTTTGTAGGCCTCCAGGGCGCTAGGGCTGGGTATCATTTAAAAAATTATGATACCAGTACCACTACCCTTTAAGTCATACCAATTTTCCTGCAGTTTATGCATTTGTTTTAAATAGAGAGCACAGGTGTATACTTTTGCCATACTTTTGAACATTCTGGTGGCACCTCAGCACGCTCAACTGCCATCAGCCTCACCAAATACACTGTGCTTGACTTCACCAACACCACAGACTGTATGGGTTGTGGCTGTTGCTGTAATGGGTCAATCACGCATAGCATTTTATTAAAGAATGCCTGGTGTGGTGATTGGCTGCAAGCAGAACCACATATTTTTTCTTGATCTGGGTACAAAGAGGATTGAATGCAGGTATGGCTTGACTGGAAACATTTTCATACTACTTGATACTGGGTTATTTCAGTTGATATCTTAAAGGTACCAAACACTGATACCAAGCCCTATGGGCAAAACCCCAAACTACCCATGTTCTCCACCAAAGTACAACAGATAAGCCTTAGTATCTGCACAGAAGTAAGCATCCTTTACCCACGCAGACCAAATACCATTCAGTCAAATTATACAAAAGTGGTGGACTTCTAACTGTAGCTATTGTATTTAGGTACGCTTGCAACTGGTGTACCTTTTAAACATTTCTAGTTTGTCATCTAGTGCCTTGAAAACTTTGTCCGTTGAGGTATAACTCAACATGTATGCTTCCAGAAAACAGCGTTAGTCACTAAATTATTAAAGCCCTTATCCAGGCCAGTGGGGTCAGTACTCACTCTGGCAGTGCTGGGAACATTCTGCTGGAGGTCCACCGCAAACCTCATCACACTTTACACATTTCTTTAGCAGCCCATCATAGTAGTGGCCAGGCCGTGCTTTACAATGTGCAGATTCTAACATCAGAAAAGGAAAAGGACATACAGTAAATTGAATTTAATTCTGTCCTGTCTATCTACCATTACATTTACTGTCCCTCAAAAACTGGTTACATCCATATCTTGTTTATTTAATACATTGATAGGAAGGGCAGTAAGTATTCCATGCTAGATTTGACACTGAATTCTTTTTGTCGCCCTTAAATGTTGCCAACTATTAAAACTATTGTGCCCACATTTAAGACAAATAAAGGTAATAAGTTCAGTGCATAATGTTCAGTGAACTTTGATTTTCACAGACTGCAACAACTATGGATTTATATGTATTTGTGCGAGTGTGTACTCACCACAGTAACTGGTGCATTTGGGATCGACACGTTCATCTTTGCATATCGTTTGACAGCCTATACATCTTCTGACCAAGTTATCCCAGAACTGACCTTCACGGCAGCTTCCACCCATCAGCTCTGATGACACTCACACTGACAAACACAAGTCACAACAGAGAGATACATATAAACAGAGAGAACATAACAATGGCATGCGAGTAACTATAAATATGTAAAAGATAATCTAGTCAATGCATGTGTAGCATGTAGCTATGTCGTTGATACACTGACCTACACCAGTTAAGAAAACAGGCAGGAAGATACAGTTTACCCAAGTTTACGTCCACTACATAGACCAGTTTACAAGCCAGGGTCACTACCTTTTTTGTTTCATCACAGGAATTACAGTGCTGTATAGTTAGTAGGCAGTGATATCTGACTTGGTCTTTCAGGGTCTTACTTTGTGGTTGTTGTAGTAGAATAAATATAGCTTATGAAGCTTGCTTGCAGTCGGTTAGCCTTGCCTGAATAGAGGCTTAGGGCACATGGGGGCTGAAGGAGGGCTGAAAGGTGAAGAGGAAGGCTTCACCTTTGTGAAGCCTTGGTGACAAATATTAAATAGGTGACATTACAATGTGTAGATGTAGTTCAAGTGTCTACAAGTACTGTGTGTCACTATTCTCTTCTATAGGCCCTGCTGTAATGTACTTCACCATAATGTAATGTATTACACTAGTATATTGTTATGTACTGTACTATAATGGTATACTGTACTATTGTACACTATACTGTACTGTACTATATTTAATGATTTGTTCATGTAACAGGGATCATAGAGATAAACAGTTCCACACAGGTAAGCAATGCTATACCATACTGGCTACACTAAATCATACTATACAGCACTGACTAATACTGTACTAGTACAGTATATTGCACCATATTACACCATACTGTACCTAAGTATACAGCATTATACTGTTCTGTATGATACTATACCTTACTATACAAGTACAAGTATACTGCACTATATTACACAATGAAACACTATACTGTACTATACTATAATATACCATATTATACTATGCAAGTATACTGCACTATTCTTCGCATTAAAACACTATACTGCACTATACTATAATATACCATATTATACTATACAAGTATAGTGCACTATACTCTACTATAAAACACTATACTGCACTATACTATACCATATTATACTATGCAAGTATACTGCACTATACTCTACTATAAAACACTATACTGCACTATACTATACCATATTATACTATGCAAGTATACTGCACTATACTGTAAAACACTATACTATACTATACTATACCATATTATACTATGCAAGTATACTGCACTATACTGTTAAACACTATACTGCAGTATGCTTCACCATATTATACTATGCAAGTATACTGCACTATACTGTTAAACACTATACTGCAGTATGCTTCACCATATTATACTATGCAAGTATACTGCGCTATACTCTACTATAAAACACTATACTGCACTATACTATACCATATTATACTATGCAAGTATACTGCACTATACTGTAAAACACTATACTATACTATACTATACCATATTATACTATGCAAGTATACTGCACTATACTGTTAAACACTATACTGCAGTATGCTTCACCATATTATACTATGCAAGTATACTGCACTATACTGTTAAACACTATACTGCAGTATGCTTCACCATATTATACTATGCAAGTATACTGCGCTATACTCTACTATAAAACACTATACTGCACTATACTATACCATATTATACTATGCAAGTATACTGCACTATACTGTAAAACACTATACTATACTATACTATACCATATTATACTATGCAAGTATACTGCACTATACTGTTAAACACTATACTGCAGTATGCTTCACCATATTATACTATGCAAGTATACTGCACTATACTGTTAAACACTATACTGCAGTATGCTTCACCATATTATACTATGCAAGTATACTGCGCTATACTCTACTATAAAACACTATACTGCACTATACTATACCATATTATACTATGCAAGTATACTGCACTATACTGTAAAACACTATACTATACTATACTATACCATATTATACTATGCAAGTATACTGCACTATACTGTTAAACACTATACTGCAGTATGCTTCACCATATTATACTATGCAAGTATACTGCACTATACTGTTAAACACTATACTGCAGTATGCTTCACCATATTATACTATGCAAGTATACTGCGCTATACTCTACTATAAAACACTATACTGCACTATACTATACCATATTATACTATGCAAGTATACTGCACTATACTGTAAAACACTATACTATACTATACTATACCATATTATACTATGCAAGTATACTGCACTATACTGTTAAACACTATACTGCAGTATGCTTCACCATATTATACTATGCAAGTATACTGCACTATACTGTTAAACACTATACTGCAGTATGCTTCACCATATTATACTATGCAAGTATACTGCGCTATACTCTACTATAAAACACTATACTGCACTATACTATACCATATTATACTATGCAAGTATACTGCACTATACTGTAAAACACTATACTATACTATACTATACCATATTATACTATGCAAGTATACTGCACTATACTGTTAAACACTATACTGCAGTATGCTTCACCATATTATACTATGCAAGTATACTGCACTATACTGTTAAACACTATACTGCAGTATGCTTCACCATATTATACTATGCAAGTATACTGCGCTATACTCTACTATAAAACACTATACTGCACTATACTATACCATATTATACTATGCAAGTATACTGCACTATACTGTAAAACACTATACTATACTATACTATACCATATTATACTATGCAAGTATACTGCACTATACTGTTAAACACTATACTGCAGTATGCTTCACCATATTATACTATGCAAGTATACTGCACTATACTGTTAAACACTATACTGCAGTATGCTTCACCATATTATACTATGCAAGTATACTGCGCTATACTCTACTATAAAACACTATACTGCACTATACTATACCATATTATACTATGCAAGTATACTGCACTATACTGTAAAACACTATACTATACTATACTATACCATATTATACTATGCAAGTATACTGCACTATACTGTTAAACACTATACTGCAGTATGCTTCACCATATTATACTATGCAAGTATACTGCACTATACTGTTAAACACTATACTGCAGTATGCTTCACCATATTATACTATGCAAGTATACTGCGCTATACTCTACTATAAAACACTATACTGCACTATACTATACCATATTATACTATGCAAGTATACTGCACTATACTGTAAAACACTATACTATACTATACTATACCATATTATACTATGCAAGTATACTGCACTATACTGTTAAACACTATACTGCAGTATGCTTCACCATATTATACTATGCAAGTATACTGCACTATACTGTTAAACACTATACTGCAGTATGCTTCACCATATTATACTATGCAAGTATACTGCGCTATACTCTACTATAAAACACTATACTGCACTATACTATACCATATTATACTATGCAAGTATACTGCACTATACTGTAAAACACTATACTATACTATACTATACCATATTATACTATGCAAGTATACTGCACTATACTGTTAAACACTATACTGCAGTATGCTTCACCATATTATACTATGCAAGTATACTGCACTATACTGTTAAACACTATACTGCAGTATGCTTCACCATATTATACTATGCAAGTATACTGCGCTATACTCTACTATAAAACACTATACTGCACTATACTATACCATATTATACTATGCAAGTATACTGCACTATACTGTAAAACACTATACTATACTATACTATACCATATTATACTATGCAAGTATACTGCACTATACTGTTAAACACTATACTGCAGTATGCTTCACCATATTATACTATGCAAGTATACTGCACTATACTGTTAAACACTATACTGCAGTATGCTTCACCATATTATACTATGCAAGTATACTGCGCTATACTCTACTATAAAACACTATACTGCACTATACTATACCATATTATACTATGCAAGTATACTGCACTATACTGTAAAACACTATACTATACTATACTATACCATATTATACTATGCAAGTATACTGCACTATACTGTTAAACACTATACTGCAGTATGCTTCACCATATTATACTATGCAAGTATACTGCACTATACTGTTAAACACTATACTGCAGTATGCTTCACCATATTATACTATGCAAGTATACTGCGCTATACTCTACTATAAAGCACTATACTGCACTATACTATACCATATTATACTATGCAAGTATACTGCACTATACTGTAAAACACTATACTATACTATACTATACCATATTATACTATGCAAGTATACTGCACTATACTGTTAAACACTATACTGCAGTATGCTTCACCATATTATACTATGCAAGTATACTGCACTATACTGTTAAACACTATACTGCAGTATGCTTCACCATATTATACTATGCAAGTATACTGCACTATACTCTACTATAAAACACTATACTGCACTATGCTTTACCATATTATACTATGTAAGTATATTGCACTATACTGTAAAACACTATACTGCACTATACTTTACCATATTATACTATGCAAGTATACTGCACTATACTCTACTATAAAACACTATACTGCACTATGCTTTACCATATTATACTATGTAAGTATATTGCACTATACTGTAAAACACTATACTGCACTATACTTTACCATATTATACTATGCAAGTATACTGCACTATACTCTACTATAAAACACTATACTGCACTATGCTTTACCACTATGCAAGTATACTATACTATACTATACTATACTATACTATAAAACACTATACTGTACTATTCTATACCGTCTTATACTACACACTTATACTGCACTATACTATACTGTATTATACTATACAAGTATACTGCACTAAACTTTACTTTACCTTCCTATACTAAACTGCACTATATGATATTATACTATACTATACTACACCATACTAGTATATAATACTGTGTGAAACTAACTATGTTTCACTATTGTATACTATATCATGCAAGCCACATGTCTGTATAACATGTTTGCTAAATACTGGACTTTTGTTTAATCCCACAGGAGGAACTTCTTAGAAAATATATTATGCCAATATGATCTGGAAATCATTTGATTAACTTCAGCAGTTTTTGATACAAAAATATTAGCTTATCTATATTAGATGCCATAAGCAAGTGTGAGGTGTACTAATGCGGGATAATTGTAGGAAAAATACATTTAAGTCTGCACTTGCCCACATGAAACACGATTATTTTGATGTATACTGAAAGAGTTAAAGAAAGGCTTCTGTACTATGAAAGGTATGTTCTGACTTTGCTTCAAAGGCAAAGCAGACCCACTTCCTTTTGGTGGTTCTGTTTTTTAGAGCGAACCCTGCAAAACATGTACAAAGTCCAGTCAATCAAAGATAAATGGCCATCAGCAACATGCCAGCCCTGCTGTTAACAGTACCTGCAACACATGAACTTACATCTGTTGAGAAATTAGGTCTTTGTTCGCAAACACAGCCCTCTTCGCTCCACTGAGCACTGAGTTAGCGGACTGCGACAGACACACATGTTTAAACCTCCTCCGCCCTCAACTGCAGTATTTTACAGTATATTTGGCACATCCTGATAACCAGCACTTACTCACACCCCCTTTTAAATTTCATGTAGTTAGAAGTGTACTTATCATAAACATATAATATATGTTTGCCAATATCAAAACAAAAAAGCTTATTTCCATACAAACCAATGTCATTATTTAGAGTTATCTGTCCTCTTTGTCATGTGCTTATCTATTTTTGTGCTTCCTTATTGAGTTTTGTTGCCACTTTTTCATTATTTATCTTTGTTTCCATTTTATAAGCTTCTCATATTTGGTCTCACAAGTTGTGCATATCTTTGTGAATGTAAGTGAAGACTGCAGCAAAGTTAAGAAGTTTCTAGTAACCAGTGAGCTCACTGTGAGCCGCAGAGTTGCCAGCTCCAAACTTCAACTCATGTTTTCATCACGCTATTAAGAAAGTGTGACAACGCTGGCTGAAGTTGAGGATTCGATTCCCACCTGGACCCCAAATTGTGACCACAAATACTGAAAACACAACATTCAGTTTGGTAATGTGACCTATTGTAGGTTGAAAAATAGAGCAGGTTAGGGTTAGGGTTAGGGCACTCACCTGGCGAGATGAAGAAGCGGTGGGAGAATCCTTGGTTTGAAGATGAGAGTGAGATAGGCCCGTATTTCAGTATGGAAGCTCATTTGGGTAAGAACTCACTGCCCGATCAGGGACTTCCCCCTGTGTGTGAGGAGAATCCCCCCGCCCGAACAGACACACACACACACACATAAACTTAAGGTTAGACCGGTATACATTGCCTATAAAAAGCAACCACTCTCCGTTGGCTTGATTAACAGAAACTATACTGTACTAAAAATGGACCTAAATAACTACAAACATAAAAAATGCAAAATCATTGATTCAGTTGTACAGTTCGGACAAGTTTCATGGGCACTGTAAGCTAAAAAGCACTTTAAGTCCTGCCACAAATTTGAACTTAAACTTGGTGTTGCCAGAGCATTGACGTAGTTGAGTGTCCTGTAAAATACTGCTAAATAAATAAATAAATCACATCAATTTAACATTGTTGTATTGAAGCCATTACTGTGTAGCTATAGCTTTATGTTTGGGATTGTTGTATTGGTGGAATGTATGGCAAATCTTTTCCCAATGTCCTGTAAATATCAATAGAATAAGAATACAAAGACCGGCAATAGTGGCAATTTTCTTACAGAGTGCTCGGAGTTTCCGAACACTACCAGGCTTCATGTTATGACTAATGGATTTCTGGTGGTGTGCAGTGTTTGTCATGGATCAAATGGTCCAAAAAGCTCAATAACTTTCGGATAAGGCCATAGAACCTTCCATGCCTGGTAGCCCACAGGTCATTTAAATATATCTTGCCAAAACTGTGACTGATGAAGTATCCATCTAAATACTTGTTCCTTTGTCTTCATGATGCAGTTTTTCCCCCCAGGAAACCTTTATCATAGAATTTTAGCAGGTCTTTGCAGGAAAACCACAGGTGTAATTCATATCTCTAACAATGACTGCATGCCTGTTAGTTTTGCCAGTTCCAAGGTCCTGCTATTGTACATGCTGGGACATTTAATGGAGCTCAGACATTGATAATTGCTCACACGTTCCTGCTATGACAAGTGAAAATGTCCACTGTGAAAAAGTCCTATTGACTGAGAAGCTTTTTCCATAGAGGTGTTTTTGGATTAAAATCACGGTCACCACTTGTTTACACACAGTTGGTCTCATTCATCTCATCATGCCCATTCTAAATGTGTGTTGTATTAAGGGCTGCTCCAGTCAGTTCAAAGCTTTACAATGGTGACATTTGAATTCTATATCAACAACATTTGAATGCAATGCAGCATTTTTTTTATAACATGTCTATTTGTTCTCTTTAAACCTGGTATTTTGGCACAGTTGCAGATAAAGATTGGGCCTACACTAATGTTATTAGTATTTTACTATTCATAGAAGTAGATTCCACCGGTGGCTGCGTAGGATTGTTTGTGATCTGTGTGGGCCAAACACTTCTAATAACTCCAGAGAGCTGTTAAGTCCAAAAGTCAAAATTTATTGAAAAAATGATAGATGTAATAATTTCAAAAATTCATTCATTCTTGGCTTCTGAAATCTTCTGCTTCAATCCATATGTGTTGGCGTTCAGCAGAGATGGGACCAAGTAATTGTTTTGCAAGTCAGAAGCAAGTCCCAAGTCAAGACAAGCCAGTCCCAAGTCAGGTAGCAAGTGAAGACCCACAAGTCCCAAGTCAAGTCCCAAGTTCTAAACTTTGATTTTCAGTCATAATGCACTCCTCATCAAATGTAATGCTATTTTAACAACAGTGTGTCGATTTTTATGGTGATGACATCATAAAATATGATGACAGACATTCGAAGCGTCATTTAAAAAAACACAATAGGAGCTTCAAATGTAAGAAAATTACATTTGGTACATTAAAAGGGGAGACTGCTAATACAAGAACTTATTTTTATTAACTTAATTCAAATGTATCTTTACAAATATGAAATAAAACTATCAATGTCTGCATTAGTCTTCAAAAAGGCATGTTGGCAGAGCCCTAACTGACAGCTAACATACACAAATTGACCACAGTGTCTCAGGGTTGACAAGTAATAATGTGCAGCTGAGTGTGTCAAACGGTTTTATTGGGAAGATGTGACTAAACTCTCTGTCTCGGCATCAGTGTGAAACTGTTGGGCAATTCCACGCCATGTGTTTTACTCTCCACTGATCACAGGACCAGATTTCAGTGTTTCATCTCTGCGTCATTTCTCATATAAATCAGGATCTTTCTGGCCATATGCAGCTTAATTTTAAACTGAGAGTAAATACGCTGAATTATTTTTAAATGGTGCGCTAACACCTGTGGATGTAAAAGATGTGAACCAAGGTTTCATTTTGGTCCAATTATAGGTCCAGAAAAGTTTATTGATTTTAGCTTTTTAAGCCCTGCATGGCTTTATATTATTTCCAGATCAATGCAGATTGCTCTTTATGGCTTTTAAACAAGGTGGTAGACACACATAACTATTCAAGAAGTCTTAAAAGGTGTCTAATACCTACTGCAAATATTAAAGATGTATTTCTACAACTAAATCAATGTGTGTAAAGTAAAGAGATAGGGGAACTTAAAGTTCAGTTAAAAAGAAGATTATGGTAGGTCACAGCACATCAGGACAAGGTCAAGAACAAATAGTACCTGAACTGAAAGAAAAAAAAAAAACAGTTTCAAACAATGCACTGACTGTCACTCTGAGATTTTCAGGGAGGCTTTGATGTGCAGCTGTTCGACGACACCGGAAACTCTGGGGTGAGAAGTTTTAAAAGGTGTTAGTTTTGTTTTTGAAGATTCGAGTTTGGTTCTGCTTTGTGACATTTAAAACATTTAGCAGCACGATGGGAATCGACTGCACACTGAAAACAACAGGTGCAGTTTATTTTTAAATAGATAAATGGTCACAGAGTTATGGATACTAATGATAGACCATACCCTAAACTAAATCGTTAACTGCATACATAGAGTTGGTTAAAGCTAACAAAATGTAGCTGTAGATATGCTGCAAGTGTGGTGCATATGAGTCATCAACAATACACCCATCACATACTCCTACAAAGTATATTAAAAGTAGTCCCCCCTCTTTGACTGTTACAGTCAACCAGTACAAGTAATGCACTGACAAGGGTATGATCCATCACTGGTTTCTCGCCTAAAACAACACAGAGATACAGCTCTCGAGAACTGATCCTGGGTCTCTGCAGTTGACCAGTCCAATAACGGGGTTTCTGATTGGCCAAGGAAGTTGTAAAATCCTTCTCCAAAAAAATCACAGTCTCACCCTGACCAGAGATATTGGATGAAGCGAGATACCCCACTCAGCTCACTTCCTGATTCAGTGACGTCAGTGCCACGCCCCCGTAGGAGACTTGCGGCAGCTCTGAATGTATTGTCGTCAATGAGGAAAATGAACGTGATCACAATTTATGGTCAATTCTTTCGCCTTATAGTCACTAAAGTAAATATTGGGTTCGTTTTCCACAAGCCACACATCTTACCAACATTCTGACACTAAAGCTGCATTTTTCATCCGCACAGATCAAGAGAAAATTAACTTTGTTTGAACCCCTGTCCGTCTCAGAAAACAAGTTCCCGCGAGATCTTGTGATCTTGATAAACAGGCGGTAAAGTCACAGTCAGCTTACAAACAGTTATTTACCGCTTGTAATAAATAAAAAATGCCCAAGCTTTGTGCAACAATAGGCTGCAATAATAGGAAGAATGTATTTTCATTCCACCTGCTTCTCGATCCGCATACACAGACATCCACAGAGCCTCTGTTCAACACAGTGGTGGGGAGGGGGGGGGTTGAGGGAGAACAGGCTCTGATTGGAGGGAGAGCTAACCACGCCCACTTAGGAGACAGGAAGAGTAACTGTTTTCTTAACATTGGATAAGCCTACGGTGGGGTATCTCGCTTCATCCAATATCTCTGCCCTGACCTCGTCACCTACCGACATTTGGTCATGGACTTTCCACATCCAGATATGATGTGCAAGGTACCCCGGGTTGGGTTGGTTGTTGACTTTCTGGGACACTTTGTCAAGTTCTCTCTTTCAAAATACACTTCCGTTTTCACAGGAAATTTGCCGTTTACATACAGTCTCTTTCAAAATAAACACGCTATGTTGGTACAACACCGCAAATTGATGTTTTTCTTCTTTCAACAGCTAATGCACGTGGTTAGGTTAAGGCAACAAAAACACATGGTTGGGTTTAGGAAAAAAGACCAAGCAGCAAGCTACAAGAACAGAAGTTCTCGTCTCGCTGCATTTGTCCCTGATGCCTGCAGCTGCCGTTAAACTATAATGGCGACTGGCATTGGTGTAGTGGAGGGTATACTCAGGTGTACGGGGTATATCCACTTCTTTTTCTATCCAGTTACAGTATACCGACCTATCAGCTAAAATGCCATAGTAATATATAGGAGAGTATGCCTACTTCCTCATCAGTAACCTACCTATCAACCTAACAGTACACCCACCTCATCAACTACCACTACACCACTGGCGACCGGCCATATATCATTCTGACATTAAAGGATGGCTTTTTTTTGTCGGTGTCTGACGCCAGAAGTCATTGCCCAAGTGCCAGATTTCGACAACTTCGGAGTGAGACCAGGTTGCCTCCAACAAACTTAAAGTAAAACAGATCCTCCAGGATGTTAAAACAAATTCAACAAATCCCCGTGAATTCTACATGACCTTGCAATTTTGTCCAATCACTGCAACTTTGCTGTAATTTGATTATTTAAAACAGGTCAAATTTAATTTCACTGTAGAGCTGTGTACAGCGTATTGACTCACTCACCCCCTCTCTCTTTTTGTCTCTCATTGTTCATCGTGAGACTACTGCTGTGGGAGCGCAAAAGTCACACAAACACAGTGACATGGCTAACTGTTAGCGTCACACAGCTAACGTTACCCAGTGTTTATTAACCGGTTTGTCAACACAGTGGAGCCATTTCGGTGTCGGTGTGAGATGAACAGTTCGGTGTTGGATGGTATCTGCTGCTGCGCGGCTTCTGCCCATGTGGCAAAATAT